TCTCCCCAGTCCTCTGGCCCGCATGTCACCAACTGGTCCTCTGTCCCCTGTTCCCCTCCTCTGACAGGGAGAGCCAGGCTCCGGGCTCCCAGGACAGGCTGGTGGTGAAGGGTGAACGCACGATCGTTGCTGAGGTGATGTGGAAGGTAGGACAAACACTGACCAGCAGTCCAGGGAAGAGGGTGACCCACAGAAGATCCCAAGCCTGGATTCCGCGTTCCTCACCCTCACCTGCAGTCCAGCCTGACTCCCATCCTGGGGAGCTGGTCCAGAGGGAACTCAGGCTGCCTGGTCCACACCCAGCCTCCCCAGCCCCACTGCCTTCTCAGCAGCCCTCAGGCATGCTTCTTCCTCTAAAAGACCAGTCCCATCAGGGGAGCCCCAAAGAGGGCAGAGTTCCTCAGGTGGCCGATGAGGTGAACAAAAGACACAACACCTATCGCCACCCAGTGGCCACCAGCTTTGTAGAGGAGGGAGGAGCCGCAGGGCCTGCTTGCTGAGGGAGGGTGGAGGGGGCCTGGGGTTTTGAGGCGCTGCGGGGAGGATTTCTAGAGGTCTTGAAATCAGGACCCAGACTGGATTCTTCCTCATTAGGGGTTGAGTGAGTGCCTGGTGGGCAAGGATGCTACCTCTGTGGGGAGGGGAAGACTAAGTGACGAAGGCCTTGGGACCAGGCATGGAGGTGAAGGCAAGATCCGTGAGTGGGACCTGAATGAAAAACTCAACGTGCACAGGTGATTTTGAGGCCTGCAGCCCCAAGTCAGGTGCCGGGTCTAAGGCTCTGCTCTCCTCAGGGAAAACCGTAGCACCTGTGACCTAAACCTTGCAAGCCAGAGGGCCCCACAGGTGTGCACGCGCATGTGTGTGAGGGCACTTGCTGGGCCTGCAGAGGACTCAGGCTATAACTCATTATGAATTATAATTAACTCCTTATTAGTTGGCAGTGTTCCTGGGCCCCAGGGGGCTATCAAGTATGTATTAGTCATGACCCTTAAATTCATGGGGACACCCTCTTCCCAGTCTCTTCTCCCATTCACAGGCCCAAAGACCAAAACTTCTAAGTGGCCATTTCCCTCCCTCCCTGCAGTGGCCTCAGCTGGCACCACCATCCTGAGGCTGATGGGCTTCAGAGGGCAGTGCAGCTCCTGCCAGCCCCCCTCGCTCCCTAGCTGTGACCTCAGACCAGGCTTCAACCTTAACCTCTAAGGTCCTGCATTCAGTGAGGCCTGAAGACCTGAGGGGCCTGGTGCCCCGTACATAGTTCTCATCAAATATCTTCTCAAATGAATGACAGTCCTATGCTAGGCTACATGTTCCTTCTTAATCTCTACCTTTGGCAGTGCTAGGCTCCACTTACTTCAGAAAATCAAGCATGTCTATCTGCTGTCTGCCTCTTCAAAGGACCCCCCTTCCCAGCAAGTCCCAGCTCTCCTCATGGTCTCCCTTGGAGATCTTACATTTTCAAAAGGAAACAGTCACACCCATCCAAATCTTCACAGAGCTGGGAAACGAATAGTGCTTTCTGGAATTGGTAAATCGACTTGATGCCCACTTCTTTAATGCCTGGTCCTAACCCAGCTGTCCCCGGCTTGAGGCAGGAGACGGGGGAGATGGCGCCAGTGAGCACACTCTACCTGCTTGCAGGCACACCGCAGTGGGAGACACCAAGCCCGCCACCGAAAGAACTGGTTTTCCAGGCAGGGTTAAGTCTACAGAAAAGGCGCCAGAATCCTTGACATCTGCTGTTTGTAACTGGGAGGGCCTGCTACATCTATCAGGTTCTCTAGTCATCATTTCCTTTTAGAATAATACCCTTGGGAGTTGGAGCTTCAGGCAGGCGGAAGGTAAGCAGCCCAGCTGGGGTCTGAATATTGTTTAGTGTAGAATATGGTATTTGCAATGTGCAGAAAGCCTCTTGGTATAAAAGCTCCAACTGCAGGGGCCAAGTGATACCAACCCCACTTCGCTTCCTCTCCCTCCTGAGCCAGGCAGGTCATTGGTTTCCCCGGCTGCTAAGACTCTAGACTCTGCAGGACCCACTCAGCCACTGGGCACCTGTGAAGTTGATCTTCCCCGAGTTCAAGGCCTTACCTATGACGCTGCTCCCACCCTCTGTTTATTGATTGGTGAGGACCAAAAAGAAACACAGTCTAGGATCACCAGTCCCCCAGGGATTCTGGCCAAGAAATGTGACCACAGATCACTGCTCCCCGCAACCCTCCCCTTTCTTCCGCTAGAATAGACAGCTGATACTAGCCTTTCTCCACCTGACGGGCAATGGCTTCTTGCACTGATGTGGATGCTTTTCTCCTTATAAATCTGTGGTATAGCGGTCCTCACAATGTGGTCCTTGAACCTACAGCAGCACCACCACACGGGAGCTTGTTAGAACTACAGATCCTCCAGCTCCACCCCAGAGATACTGCATCAGATACTCTGGGGGCGAAATCCAGTTATCCAGATTTTTAACAAGCCCCCCAGGGAATTCTAAGTTTGAGAACACTGGCATTGTCTCTACACCTGAGAGCCCCTGGCAGGAAACCTCACTTGATTTTCTGGTCCATACATGGGGAACCTGTCCAGGTGCACGCGGTTTGTGATGCTGGAGTTTGTGCCCGAGGAAGATGGGCTCCCACGCTCCACCTGTAGCAGTCATCTGACCCCCCCCAATAGGGGAGGCCAGCGAAGGCTAGGTTTGGAATCTACTGCAGGGCTCCTCACACGCCCTTTTCTTCCAGAAGGTGCAGCAGGAATTCAGATGGCTCTAGGCATTGCCATAGCAACGGTACCTTTCCGAAGCTGTGATGGACTACAGGAGCAGAGTGTAAGCAATGCAGAAGAGGGGGAGTCTGCTGGTGGAAAAAGCATGCCCAGCGGAGGAGGAGGTTATGAAAATAAACAGAATTGCAGCATGGCTCGGATTGATGAACCTGAGCTTGGTGGGGCCTTGACTTCTTCAAGACCTAGGATGCATCTGGCACCTCTCCAGGGGTCTTCACAGCTACAAACCAGCACCAGGCCAGGAGGCCCACGATGCTAACAGCATATGTCAGTTCTCTCAAGAGATCATCTACCTAGGTTAAATGAGGCTCCTAAATGGTCACAGAGCAATTAAGAAGGAAATGCCCACTGCAGTGTGACCACCTGTGTTCCGGGTCAGAACTGAGGAAGGGGACCCAGCTTCACGATTCTGATGTGGGTTTGCATTCGAAAGCAGGTGCCAAGCCATCGGGAGGCACCTAAGGGGCCTTAGATCATGGTAGATACTCTAGCTTGAAAAGAAATCAACTGTTGAGATTTTTACATAGAAATGGACCACTCACTCATCTGAGGCGCTCTCCAGCCCCCTTACCACCCCCTAGGTGCTGGTAAGTAGCGGGAGTTGGGAGCCTCTCCTATATTCGAAGATGTTGGCGCTACTTCCTGTCAAAGGCAGGCGGAGAGCGCCCGCGGGATGGAGGGTGGTCCTGCGGCCCAGGCGCGGAGTAACCCAGGAGACAGGGCTACCCGCATGCGCACTGCACCTGGGCCGAGCACTTGGGCTGTTTTGAAGCCACTGGCGCTCTTAATCTGACTGTCCCTTTGAATCATTTTGCTCTGGAAGAAGCAAGAAGTTCACGTGAGGAACCGGGAGCTGGGTTTCTGCCCTGTCCTCAGGAATGGGGTAGGAAGTGTGAGAAGTCAGGATTGTGGGGGAAGCACATGGTCACCGAATAGTGTCACCTGGTAGGCCCTGGTTTAGCCCTTAGACGCCTGATTTCACCATTGGTGAGACTGGTTTGCATTGAGTGTCCCCCTACCTTTCCATTTGGCTACTGTCACCCTTACTCCTCCTGGTCCTCCAGGCAAGCTGGGACCCCCGTTTCCTGAGTGCGTGGGCACACCTTTACACCCATGTTTGTCTTTTTCGAGTGTCGCCGCAGCCTCAGCTCACTGCTGGTCACAGCGTGGGCCTCGGTAGGGCCCAGGAGCTGCCGTGGGAGGCACCTGGCCCGGGGGCTTCTCCTGAAGCCCAGAGTGGGTGTGTTTAACACCTGAGGGATAACCAGCTCCCCAGCTCCCACGCTCCTTCCCGCTGTCACACAGCCGGAGTCTTCCGAGCTGTCTCATTACACGGAGGAGCTGGTCAC